GCTCATGCACGACTACCTACAGTAGTTATGAGACTCTTCTCACCAGATAGACAACACACTTATTTATTTATTAAGTGTTTAAGTGCATTGTTAAGTCCTGTTTGAGTAACATTTGGCCAGCTGTTTTGAGTCTTTTTTACAATATATTTGTTGTCTGCTTTTCAATAATCAGTAGAAACAAATGTCCTTAGCGCCAAAGACAGGGTAGCAAAGTCCAAAAGCATTAAGAGACAGACTAATGCTGTCACCATGGACAGCAGTATAGTAGTTAAAATGACATATTCAGCTCTTACCCGACAGGCGGGGTTGTTCCACTGTCCATCTGTCCGTCCAGGATAACTTTGTCCTTCTCTAGCTCCAGGATTATCTTGTCAATGCGACCGATCATGCGGTTTACTCTCTTGGACAGACGCTGGCTCGCCTTTGACTCCTCCAGTGCCTCTTCTTGGCCGGTCTTAGAAAGCTCCTTCTTTATTTCTTCCAGATCCTGGAAAAACACACATTATTACACAAACAAAGCAAATGATTTCAACTTTTACATAACCCAGGCTACAAAAACACTTATCACATATAATCACACGTTGTCTATTTTGAGACAAAATACTCTTAAAACCTCTAAAACCTTTGACTTGCATGGCAATAAATATTAATTTAACAAGTTAAATAAGATAAGTCTAACACAGGCACCTCATTGTATTCTTGGACATCATCCTTCAGTTCTTCAAGCTCTTCCTTTTCCAGAGTCAACAGCCTCTTCTGCTCCTTCAGCTTTGAGCATGCATCACTCAACAGGTCAATCTCTTCTTTGGTGATCTCCTCACCCTGGAACACAAACATATAATTGAAGATATTTGCTGCTGAATGTCAGAAATTCTACCCACAACTTGGATGAAAGCATTTACAGTAGATACTGAATGATAAACATATTAGCTTAAGGCCATATTTTCCCTTCAAAAATGAATGTACGTAACTATACACTCCAGTTACTTTAAGAAGTAGGTCAAAAAGTGCGTCCCCTTAACAAACACCACATGTGCATTTAATATAAACCACATAGGAGACCAACCCAAACACACAAAATGGGTAAAAGAGTGAAGCTCTAGAGGACACTGGGATACCCATAACCCCAGAAACACTTTATGGAGAGAACTCTGTGGAACTACAAAGGCTGTTAGGGAGGGAAAGGCTCAACTTGGTCAGTGACACTGCCTGGAAGGATCCACAAGGAAAAGAGAAGGAGATGTCCATATAGATGTGGGCCAAACAGAACTTGCAAATCATATTTAGCGTTTATTTGGTTTAAGTTCACTGAATGAGTGGGATTTTATGTAATAAGAGAGGGAACGCTGGTAAACGTTGACCACTCATGGCTATGATTAACCATGTCTGCTTTACATCCCACTTAAGAACACACAAAGCTGAATGAGCATTTTGTGGTGGGTTTATTTCTTGTAATGCAGATTATGTTCTCACTCCTGCTGAACATGAGATCAAATGGCAGTCTGAAATAGTTCAAACGCCAGAATTCTATGCAAGTACTGTTTAACCTTCATGTGGGGGCGCTCAGAGAAAGACCAGGTACTGTGCGTGCAGGGATAAACTGGTATGGGTTTGAGGGTCGTTTGGGAGGAGACATCATTAAACCTAACCTGGAGGCGCAGGAATGTCTGCCACTGTTCAAACTGTGTGGTACAGAAGATGCAGAAGTGATCAAATTAAATGGTGGCAACATGTGTTATACATAAATTACATTCTGACTAATAATCAGTAAATAAATAAGTAAAATCAAACATCAATGTTTAGTGCTGGTCGAGGGTTAGTAGTACTGTTGGGGAACGAGCTCTGTAACATAGGTAAAGTCTGGACTTAAAAAATCAATATTAACTTTACTAATGTCTAACACTGATTTGGAAATAATGAAAATGAAAATATAAAACTATAAATAATGAAATATTGTATTGTTATTAACTATAGTACCAATCTCTGAAAATAAACGCAGCTTTACAGACGACACTGTTTTATTTATGTTATATTTATGTCATAATACTGGTACATAAAAATGCAAATAGCAACTAATTGTGAAAAACAAAATCTACCAATCTCACAGGCTGTGTGTTTAGAGACATTACCTTGATTGCTTCGATGACAGGTGCTGTATCCCTCAGTATCTCTGAATGAGCAGCCTTGTCGGCTCTAGTCAGCTCTTCTTCGAACTCCAGCTCACCCTCCTGTATAAGACAGTGATGAGGCAAAGAACAACAGAGCTTAATAAGATGATGGTTGATGGGTGAGGATTTGTCAAAGGAACTGAAATATTTTGAACAATAACAACAAAAGGATCAGAGTTGTTACCCTGGCAGCTTTCTCCGCAGCGTCCGCCAACCTCTCCATCTCCCTGTCTTTGTTGTCCTGGCGTATGGCCGCCTCCTCCTGTAATGTCGTCTCCAGCTTGGTCTTATTGTCCACTTTGGAGAGCTCCATCTCTGCCACTATCATCTGAGCCTCCTTTGTCTGGAGAGAAGAGAGCAGGATAAACAACCACAAGCTAAACCTTAAATTCCCCCAGCTCAGCTAGGATGCTAAGAAGCTTATCTACTGATTACATAAATAAAATGTCTTTATCTTTATCAACTATGTATTATAATTTCACCAGGGCAAACAAGACCACAGCGAAGTCACACATCCCAGCCCACGGCTTCTTAACATACCACCATCTCAGGCAGCGTCTGCAGTGTTGTCTTCAGTTGGTCAGCGGGGGAAAGGGTGTCGGGGAGGTACATGGCTCGGGACAGCAGCAGCAGGGATGTGGGGATCTGCTGGTTCAGATGCAGCTCCAGCCACTACAAGAGCCAAATATAACACATGAGGTTATGACAAATATGTGATTTAACGTTGACAACAGCAAGACAAATGTAAAATCTTCTCAAACTTTCATAACCCTAATTGTCTACATAACATGTGTGGATGAGAGATACAAGATAAAAGAAGATGAATCCAGTTCTCTGTTAGATTAGATATGAGAGATTTCTCTTTGACCACAACAGGATTAAAGTTGATTTACATGTGAACTTGTGCACATCCTGCAAACACCCTCCATCTGCTGTTTGCTGTTATTACCTGGCTGAGTTGTTCCCTCAGTCGTTCTTCTGTGACTCCCAGAGATCTCATCCCTCTGACGCGACACGCTGCCTGCACCTCGTTCACGTTCAGACTCGCCACACCTTCATCTGCTATCAGCTGGATAAACAGAGTTCACACAGAGCATCCAATGATCAACTAACTTCCATTTTAATTGGGTTAAAAAGTTAAAATGCAAGTAATGTTTACCTAAAAGAGTGCTGTACCTATTGCCTCTGACCAATATCTGTCTATATAAAAGCGTAGCTGTCTGTTTAGTTTTGATAATGATAGGGGGACGTGATCATTTCAATAGGACATCCACTAGAACTTCACCACGGAGGTTCATACCTTGTCATCTGCACGGATGGCCCTCAGCTTCATGATAAGCTGGAAGCGGAGGAAATTGTTGGTCCCAATGGACTGGAGCTCCAGGAGACGGCAGAGAGCCACCAGCTGAGGTCGGGTCAGGTTGTCCAGAGTCAGCTCATCCTCGAACAGTTTGGAGAATTTTATGATCTGCTCATTACTGGGACGTTCCCCAGAGTTCCGTATCTACAAAGATGAAAAAGTAATGACAAGAAAATCTGGAACTGAGAGCCCTAGTTTCCTTGTATTTGCCCACCTTTTGTGACACAGACAGAAAATATTGCAATAAAATTTTTAAATAAAGCATGTAAGTTAACAGGAGAGTGACATATTGCAGCACTGGAATGAATGCTGAACTGCACATGACCTACATTTATTTTTACATACAGAGACATTTCATGGTTTCACCACCAGAGGGCAGCACTAAGCCTGGTTTCATTACCAACCTTCTGGAAGAAAGTAGAGAACTCCTCCGTCACATTGCCCTGGGCAGCCTTGTTCCGCAGAGCGATCTCCTCGATGGTGTCCTGCAAGAACTTGGCCATCTCCAGTTTGACTCTCAGCTCAGTTTTCAACCTCTCCTCCTAAAAACAACACATTACAAATTCAATGTGGTGTAAAAAAGAATAATCCATTCTTCATAGTACATTAGATTTCGGTGAGAATAGTTTTTTGAAGAATGTTATAAACTATGTGGTGAAATGGGAATTAAATTACTACTACTACTATATAACTACTACTATAAATGTAGAAACTTTACATTGAATTATTATAAGCACTGTCAAACACAAACAGTATAGGAGAACAGATCATGGATCTTGTTATGCTGTGGATCAGACTGTAAATAGGATTAACCGTCATCAGGATGAGACAGCAGCCTGATATTGCAACATTGATTTTGTAATGACCTGAAACATCAATCTACACAATCATTTAATAAACTCCAACGTACTGGTATTGGTATCGAGTTAAGAGCTGCAACAATTAGTAGATTAATCGATTAGATGGAAAAATGGATAAGCTACTATTTTGACAATCTCTTTAGTTATTTTTAAAATAAAAATACCAACCATTCTTTGGTTCCACCTTCTCAAATGTGAAGGTTAAATGCTTTTCTTTGTCATATATGATAGCAAAGTTAATATATTTGGGTTTTTAGACTAAATAAAACAAGCAATTTGAATAAATCACCCAAACAAAACCAACCAATTAAGAGAAAATAATAGGCAGATTAATCAATAATGAAAATAATCATTAGTTGCCGCCTTAGTTGAGCTACTGTGTCTTCAACTACACTGGCATATAATGTAGACCTAAAAATGGACTACGACAGCTAAAACAATCCCCAACATTGATGTTATGCGTCTGTATCAGGCAGCTTTTATTACCTTCTTTGACTGTGTCTCGAAGGTGGACGGCAGCATGTTGGGGAAGAGTTTCAGAGCTACAGGGAGCAGGAACTCCATGAAGGGGACGATGATGAAGACGAGGAAGGGAAGAAGTCTGAAGACGTCGGCACATGTTCTGAGGAACTAGGGAAAAAATTGGGAAAAAGTGGAATTAGAACAGACTCCTTAAATTTAGGTTAATGAAGAGGTTTTTTTCTGTGTCTTGAAGAACAGTAGAGATTATTTAAAATAACCACGGTTGATATTAACAAACTGATGCCAATGTGCAGTTGGGTCACGTTTCTATTTGTTGATCAGCTGAGCCAGTGACTGCTTGTATTTGGATGGCTATTCAGAACATGTAGGGCACGGGCCTCCACGTAATTTCCACCGGGCTGACGTTTGTGTATGCCTCCAGCAGAGGGCAGCAGCAAGAGGAAAAAGCCAACAGGGAACCATGTGAAAATGTTTACCTCATCTTCCTTTGTCCCTTGATACAATCACCCTGCTCAATCCCTCTTATAACAGTTTCAACAGTCAGCACTTTCAACCCTGTCCCCCATGCATCCCCAGAGCAACAGAAACCTCCTAGTTCATTGATGCGTCATTTGCATGGAGCTTTGGACCAAAGTGAACATTCTGCCTCACAAGGCTCAGAAACTGCCCACTTGAGCCAACAGGAAGCCCATTTGTTCAGCACAGACCTGAACAATCCTCAGAGTATAGAAGTACCAGGCCAACAGTAGTCTACTTCATTGTACAGCTGTCCAACTGTGGCTTACTGACCGTCCCGGGACACAATCCCAACCAGCCATCTACAGAAACGGCCCAGAGGGGCGAAGGCCAAAACACGAGCCCTTCTTTCTCCGCCCTTTCCACCTGCATGTCAGTGGAAAAGTAGGGTGAAGGAATTAGGCCAGCGTGAGTGAAAAGGCCTTTGTCCGCAGGCCCATTGACATGTATATCATCTCCCAGAGTTCTACATCAAAGGAGGGAGGGGAGGGGGTGGCAGGTTAAAATAGAAGAAGCCTTAAACGGAGGTCAGTGTATTGTAAGTGAATATGAAAGGAAGAGATTAAGGAGGCAAAACCAGTCCAGGTTAGATGAATGGGGTGTAGATTGGCTCCAGGACAGTCAGCTGCATTTGAAAAGGTGCAGATGGGTTGGTGGTGTGGGTTTAATGGGGGGGGGGGCTGTGGTCGTCATCAGCACTGACCAGAAGCTATTAGCACTCTGATAAGGCTGCATTTCCACTGTTTCCACTTTAGCATAATTACACCAATCATGCATCATGTTAAATACCGTAACTAAATTATATTGTTTTGTTTCACTTTCACTGGAATCATATCAACATGTGATAATATTGTTATTGTATAACAAAATTATGTAATCCAACAAGCAAACTGCAGTAAAATTCATTTCTGTTTTACATGTTTGTAGAGTTTGGTCTGTTTTTGATGTATACTGACATTAGAGAAAGAAAACTATTACTGTTAACTTTAACTATACTGACCATCAGTAACTATATGTACTAACACACACTCAACTGAGACTAATTTCATTACTGCATTAGTCAGATAAGGAGATTCAAATGGTTAATCTGACCAAAAGTAATAAAGATAAATATGAACGCTGTGAGTCAAATATCCAATTAATTAACCTATATAATGTTTTCACCTTGGCTCACGTTGTAGAGTTCAAAGAATAAGGTCAGTGGAAAATGTCCGTCTACAACGGGAGCACTGAAAAAAAGGGCCCAGTTCTTCACTGTACTGTTGCACCATCCCTTTGCAAAGCGATCAGAGGTCCCATTGTTACTGTGTAACTTGTGAAACTACCCTGCAAAACATGTCTCTGCACTGTACACTCCTCTAAGCTCACAGCACTGCACTTAAAAATCAAATACCGTTTCAGCAGGTATCATCTTGTATTTTAAAATGTTGCAACTTGCTAACAATAAAATGCTTTTATTTATAGTAAGGTTATAATTTATATCATTATTTAAAAAGGCAATACAGCGGCATTAATGGTGTAGTAACCTGATAACAATTTCGGTAATATACGTAGGTTGATGTTTTCACAATAGACTAATATCAATGCAATACTTTCAAAATCGAATGATGATTCTTGGAAGTCAAAATTGGCAATTATAATGCTGAATACCGAGTACTCATGACTCACACCGCTCGAACTCAGCCTTCACTTCGATCTCAGCTACACACCTGTACAGTTTTGCGATATATTGCGCAGTTGTGACGCTATCGTGTTTACAAAACCTCTTCAGAGAAAACTGCCTCCCTGGTAGTTCCCAGTAGAGTAGGTGTCTTCAGGGCCACATTTTGTCACGATGATACACACACACAGACTCACAAGGTGAAAACAATACCTGCCACACGCTGTTGTGGTAGTTTAGCAGGTAGTTTAGCATTTTTCAGCTTTGATTCATGGTTATTCCAAAGAAAGTGTTTCCAGGTTAAGTATTAAGCATATCATTCGTACAGTATTACCGTGAAACAAAAGGGAACGTTCAGAACATAAGGAAGAATGAATTTCTTGGTAATTGGGGCTGCACCCGATTGTTCAACACAAAGATTTGACTATTTGGTTCCTCTGTTTGTTTTTTTTCTCCAGTTCATCTCCACACTGAACTCAGATCAGCCGACCGAGCTATAATGTTGAGCGCTACAGGTAAGGTTTTTGTTTGAACTCGCTTTATCTCGTCAGATAGCAAAAGCAGTTGGTGAATTTTGAACTCGGCCGAGTATCTCAGCCATGGAAAGATTCCCAGACAAGGGCAGCAGTGGGCCAGTCAACCACAGAAGCAGCTCAGTTACTCACACTCAAACAGGAACATTCGCAGCTTGCCAATCATGTCCACTAAGTCTGTACCATCCTGTACTATTGAGGGACATTGGGAACCGTAAGCACGACCTGAGCTGGCCTGCTCACCTTCACTGAAATGACACTTGTGTGCCAGAACCGACATCAGATGACTGCAGTGGGCACTGGGCCTCAGTCCATACAGATTATCTTAACGTCAGACTCAGAATAAGTCAGATAACATGAGAGTCTGTCCTATAAACATCTTTTAGTACTTTATTTCCTGCAAAAGAGGTCAAATAACTTCGGTTAAGTTAGGTTGACTAAGTAAATAATATGATTACATCACCAGTTAAAATCCAAGAACAATTAACCATTATACCAAATGTATACTCGTCGTAACTGTATGACCCAGTTTAAGCATGTTTTAGCCACGTGACATTTTATTACATTACAACAACAGTTTTTAATCATTGTTTCGGTAGTTCATGATGAACCGATGATGATATAAGTGCAAAGTGTGAACAATAGGTGAAGTTAAATGAGGAGTGCTGAGCGCCCGGTGAGTAAACCCTCAGCGTGCAGCCAATTTCTATAATTGATCCCATTAGGTTTGCGAAGCAGCGGATTAAACATATAGAACAAGATGTCTGTGCTGTCAGACTTAAACCGTGCTCATCTCTGATCTCTAAACTCACGCTGGCTGCTCCATGAACTCTGAGCTTTCTTTCACAGGAAACACTGACTGATGGTTTCTACTTATATCATTACCCAAGTACTCTCTGTAACTGGACCGACTGTTGCTTGAAGTACACATATTCGTGGGTAAAACTGACCAGTAACTTGGTTGCTGTTGCTACACCAGTCAAGCTTTCCATTCCTAGACGTCACAAAATGCTCTACAAGGGCAACCGTGACAAATTAACCAATGGAAAGTATTATTTTACATTTCAGACAGAGGTGGACAAAAGCAGGCTAATCATTAAGAGCCACCAACTATCCATTTGCTGTCCAATATAACAGCTAGATAGCTATCCAATTAAGCCAAGTTGGCTACATAAAACGATTGAAAGTCTTTGTAATTCTTCCAGTTGACTCGTTTGAAAACACCTGTGAAAAGCTCTTATGTAAGCACAACATACATGATGCACTGTGCTAGAAGACTGCGGCTAAAACTGTACGTCCAGGGCGAAGAGTCAGCATCCATCCAAACCAAGCTTGACAGGCCTAGTTATAGTTGCTGAGCTACGATTACACAATCGCTGTACAGGTCTGTGGTTTAGCCAACGGTTAATGCTGCATCATCGAAGAGGAAGATATATGGCGTAAAAATAAACTTCCGCCTTTAAATCCGCCTTTGGGCTGCTCTGATGGAATTTAATGTTACATTTTTTTAAAGAATTACATTTCCTTTTAGCCAAATAAAGTCGCATTTAACAGATGTATTAACTGAGCACTGTGAATACTTGACGTCAGCTTTAAGTGTGTGTGAAGACAACAACTGAATACTCACTACTCCAACAGGGCTGCTCACAAGCCAGTTGTACAACACTGATGTTGTAATGTGAATGTGAGGTTGCATTACAAGCAAAGTGTGACCCTCAGTAAATGTTATAAACATCTAAAACGTTCTGTTCTCCATAGAAAACCTTTCAAAACTACAGGACACCTGTATTCCCTCCCTGCAGACCTCACCTGTCTCCTCTCGCGTCGGGACAGAGGGTTTCCGTTCAGCACTCTCCACAGCATGCGCCCAGCAATGGTGGTATCAATCCACAGCAGCCTGAAGCCGTGGTAGTAGTGCCTGATTTCATCCACCACCCACTGTCGCACCGTCCTTCTCACAGGTTTGGCGTCCAGTGTGGGGCTGTACACAGGCCCTCCCTCCTCCAGTTTCTTCTTCTTGTCCTTTAACGAACGCAGTGACTTCTCCACCTTGGAGTCGTCCCATCTCCTCCTCGAGGTGTGTATCCACCTCACACCGGTGATGTCCTGTGGCCGTGCTATCGTCCACTGGGATCCCGCTGTAATAGCCGGGTACGGTGAAGGAGAGGACCCCAGCACATAGGCACAGTAGAGCCTCTGTGAGTCCGGGCCATCTGACAAAGGGAGGGAAGGACTGGATGAAGAGACCTGGGACAAGCTGCCGAGCCGGAGTCCATCGGGTCTAAGGAGACAACAGGATGAAGAGCTTCAGAATACAGACAGACATTAAAAGAAAAGACTGAAACTCAAGTTTTAGACAGAAAAACAACAGCTTACTGATGTTACCTACAGAAAGCAGTGGGATTTAAAAGCATTGTTGCACAAAATGGAAGCTCAAATGCTGCAAGATACAGAGCAGGAATATAAATCCTCCTCAGGATTTCTCTTTAAAACTTCAAAGACATAATCTTTTCGATCGATATCACTCAGATCCCACTTAAAACTGGAGAAAGAAAGTATAAGATATCAGAAAATGACCTAGAGGTTATATTTAAGACAATACGTGAGGCACTGGCAACTTAAATCAGGCCTGAACGGAGGTTTCTAACACAGAAGCAGCATCCAAGAAAACACAAGGCTTTAAAAGACCTCTGACACGGACTCCAAGATTCAAAAAGCTTATATAACACTGCACATCAGAACATTAGTTTCCATATTATAGATATCTGTGATTTTTCTAGGAACTGCAGACACGGTGAAAGCCTCGCAGTTAATTAACTAACACTTACTTTTGACTGGAGAGTCTGAGCGCGGTGCAGTTGAAACAGGCACCATCTTGTAGTTTCCCTGAAAGGAGGAAAAAAAAAAAGACAAAAAACATGAGCAGCTGTGTTCTGATAATGAGCCATTAGACAGAGAGGGACACAAACACACACACCAGCAGCTATCTGCAGGCCCCGACTGGTCTGATACAGCCACTTTATATCTGTAATCACTGATCCAGCTACAACACACAGTGCTTTCACTTTTAAATGTTTCTACAGAGCCATTTTAGAGATTATCTTTTCTACTTTTCCCCCATATTTTGTATATTATTTGTAAAGATCTCTGCCAAACAACATTACGTTACGCATTATTCTTATTCTTCTGTTAATATCTTTACACTGATCCGTCTTGGAGGCCCACACAGGGGCTCCGAAACCCCCGAGGCCCCTGTCAGAGAGAGAGGGGGCGGAGTGGTGAGACATTTCCAACCAATCATCTCAGAGCACATGGCCTAACCACCTTCCTCTGGCTCTCACATGGCTGACTGGAGTGAATCCAGTAAGGCCTGGGTGAACATGACAGGCAGCCAGGAGGACAGAGAGTTTACTGGAACAGTGTCACCTCTATGGTCCAACAGCCGGCAACTGAGGCACGGACAGAAAACCCTGGAAAACACAGCAGAACACCTCAACCTACAGCATTCACCTGGCTGTACGAGCACACACTGCGTTTCCTCTGTGGTTTTATCCCCCCGACGCTTTTTACAGTTTTGGTTTCACGTTGACGCCTCTTTCTGTCGGATTAGATCGTTTCTTAGATTGTCTTTCAGTCACACAATGGTGCAACAGTATTTCTATATTTTTCTACATTTATAGTCTATATAAAGTATATAAAGTATAAAGTCTACTAGGGCACATCTTCTGGAACGTTACAGCCTTAAAAACAGATATACTGTACATATTTTCTTTCATAATAATGCTTTATTCTTTTCATTTCCTACTGCAAATGTTTCGTTTCACATTTATCTTCTTGGCTTTACAGTATTTGCTTTTTATCGTGTTTATTTTTTTTCTCAATCTTAACTGTTTTGCAACAAAATACCACCACAAATTCCTTGTGTGTGAAAACGTACTAGGCAGTAAACCCAGTTCTGATTCTGATACCATGAATCACAAAGGAGATTCCTATGGAGAAAATCTGTTTCCTCTTTAATCAGATTGCAAAAGTATGGCACTATACAATGTAAATATGTATATGTAAGCTGTGGTCCAGGTCAGGAACAGCATGTATGTACAGAACAGACTATCTGACTTGTACATTTGTTTAAAAAGGATAAGTTAGCGTTTTTATACACTGTAATTTTCAGTTTCTACGGCAGTGTGGCCACAAAACTGCAGAATACAGGAGATTGTGACTCATGCACAAAACCTCATTCAAGCAAAAGTAAAACTCAAAATGATTCCAGTAAACAAAGTTTTTGTCTACTAACCACAGTAATATAAAAACCAAGTATGTTTACTAAACCTCCGTTAGAATAAACTGCCATAGAAGCATTAGGATGTTTTGTTGATTATAACTGGTTTTGGAGACAAATACTGACATTACAGGGTTTTATTGAGTTTATTCGTATGTTTTTGTGAGTATCTTGTATTTTACGAAGCACGTCTGCAGTTCTGCACAACTTGGATGTTGATGAGTAAATTACAAAGCTTCGACAGAGATATCTGTTGACTCCTTAAGCATTACTATTGGAAAGTAATCTAAAGTATTAAGTGTTTACTGTGCTCGTGGTCTCCATTTGGTCTTGATCCCTTTTTGGATGTAGTCTTCGGTAGGTCCGGGGTCGGAAGGTCACGCCCCGCCCGCCTCAGCTCACTCGTGTGTGACCTGCGGTTCGTTTGTATTTCTGGCTTTGAGTGTGTGGTTTTGGTAACGTTCAGAGCACTTAAGAATGGCGTTTCTGGGTCAGTGTTCTCAGCGTGTGAACTGAGTGTAACTGGGAGTGGTCGCAGTGTCACTCGGGATAAAATGACTCAACACTCCACACAAATAAATGCAGGGCTCAGTATGTGGCGGCAGATACGCCCCCACCAGGCCTGTCACGGTAACTGCTTTTAAATAGTATTTCCATAAATGATATTATTGTCATTGTATGCCCCTGATTTAATGATAATATAATAGCATAATAACTCGGATACAGACACACAACTGGAACTGTTTCTGCGGTAGTTTACTGACGCTGTTTAATCTTTACTACTTCTGACCTCCCAACCTTTGTTAGACAGATACAAAGCCAGCATACTGATCAATGTTCAGTCACAGCAGGACCTGGAGCCCGCTGAGCAGCTCTTTGTCACCGTTTCTAATGTTTAACAACCAGAGTATGAGAGGATGCCCACCCTCCGTACTACAGGCACGTAACAGACATGGAAAAATGAAGCCGAGTCTGTCTCAGGTGGAGTTATAAGAGGCACTGACCTTTCCTCGTGGAAGCGCTGCAATTTGCCTGATAATCTGGGCCTAAAGCCAACAGCCCCGTCTCCCTGCGTCCAGCGCAGACAGACAAACTCCCTTTATGACTCTCTCATCTATTTATAAGCACGGCTTTAAAGCACCGACTAAACTACAGACGTAAATATTATCTTCATGTGGCACTGTCCTCTGAACGGCGCTCACTGACGGCTGTGACACAATGTACGTTTAGTATTTGAGAATAAAAGGTGCACCCAGACACAGCACCTTAACGTCTGAAGGTTACGCAACAGCTAACATGCAGTGCTTATCAGAATAAAACTGAATTACAGAGCTGGTCTGGAGCCACACTCAGCTGGAGTGATGCCCAGTTCAAGACCGGTCAGAGGAGAGATAAAATAAGAGCATTCTGCTGAAAAGACGGGGGACTAATGGGGGGGGTAATTTCTATTTATTCAGGCAGATTTAAGCAAAGAAAGCCAATTTATGAAAGGACATGGGCTCGGATAACTGGATAACAAAGGTAGCACAGAGATGTGAAGAAGCTAGAAACCAAATCATGAGTAATAAAACATCTCTTCTCTTTGTATAAAAATGTTAAAGTTTTACCTCCCTGACATATAAATGTAATAACAACTAACCTTAGAGAGTGTATAGCGTTGGTGAATTCAAAAAAGTGAGACTGCATATTAACCAAAAACATGTTAAACGTTACTTATCAGCCCAAACACCAACAATAAACCAGATAAACTGTGCTCCAAGGTCGCAACATATACATGTGTTTGGGTAATGATATCTGCTGAGTGCTGAATACACAGAAAGGGGAACCTGCCTGCCATTACAGAGCATCCTCTCAGACTGCAGTGGAAGAAAACAGGCTGTCCTCAGATAACCTGAATCCCTAATCATGTTGTGCTCCTCATTCAGTTCCCAGAAAGGTGAGTCGATGCACCTCACACCCACCACACGGCCTCAGGTAAAGCAATAACGGATTAGTAGGTTACAATAAGTGTTTTTTTTTAAATTGTGGTGCTCAGTTATCTGCTGGTACCTTGGGTGACCCCCACCATCCTCACCAGGGTTTAACCCCCCCTGCCTCTGTCAGTAAACACCTCCTCTACAGATGCTAATATATAATATAGATGTATTGTTTGCTTTATTTCGTCTCCATTAACGTGACAAACAAACACACCCAAAAAACAACAAACAAACACAGACAGTAACATAGAAAGCTTACCTTTCCTGAATTCGTTCTTTAACGACCTGGATGTTTTCATTAAAGGTGCCCGGGACCTCGTAAACAGGATTAACGCCATGCGGAGGACACTTTCTGTTTGAACTACCTTTAAACTGTTACGCTTTGGTTAGCCGCTTTGGTTAGCCGCTTAGCTCGCCACTGCTCGTTAAAGACGTTGGAACAAAAAAAAAAAAAGCTAAACAAAGAGTCGCTGTCCTGGTAAACAGAAACAACAACCCCCCCTCCCCCTCCCCTAAAAAAAACAACAACCTTGTATGCTTTTAACAAGCTACGACGGATAAATGAGTGCACATCGGCAGATTTAGCTCCATGTCCTTCTCCTCTCTGCGGATGACAGCTAGCCGGACCAGGCTCCCCAGTGACGTCAATCTGACGTCGGGAAAGAGACTTCCGGTGTGTTTTTAAAAATAAAAGTCCGGGTTGGACTTTTAATTTAAAGGAGGCAACGTGACCTTTTCACCTTTTTACTTTCAATGCGATTTATGGTTTGATTATTGGGAAAGAGTATGGAACTGTGTTGAGATCTAATGCATGCATTTTTTTATTTTTTTTACTTACTGTACTTATTGTAATATTGTCTTTTTTACTATTCTATCAGAATCAGAATCACAATCAGAATCTTGTTTATTGCCAAGTAGGTTTTTACGCCTACGAGGAATGTGACCTGGTGCAGTTGGTGCATAAAATATACAAATATACAAATATACAATTATTCAAATCACACAAAAAATCACACATCATTGCGTAA